ACGGTGAGCACACATCTTTTACCTCAATTCGTGGGTGCTGAAACAGCTGTTGCAGTGTGAGAAACTGTCCTCAAGTTTTTTGCAAATCGTTCAACCATGTCCGTTATGAGCTTACATTACAAGTTACAATCTATACGAAAATGGAATGACAACATGCAAATGTACCTAACACGCATCAAAGAAGTTTGTGATGCCCTTGCTTCCTGTGGGAGTAATGTTCCTCCTGTTGAACAAATAGTTAGCATTCTTCGAGGTCTTCCTAGGGAGTATTAGCCATTCATGGCTGTTGTTTCAACAATGAAAGATGCACTCTCTATTGATAACATCCATACAATGTTATTAGATGCTGAGGTTCAACTTGATGGATTTGATGAACAGCAAGATAGTCTACCCATCAGTGCCAATTATGCCCATGGTGATATTGATCGTGGGTCTTCTAATCGTCAAGAGAATAGATCGGGTTGTGGTTCATCTGGTGGAAGGAATGGTGGGCGAGGACGAGGCCGAAAACGTGTTCAGTGCCAACTCTGTGGAAAGCTAGGACACTTGGTTGATCGTTGCTGGCACAGGTTTGATGAGGACTTCACTTGTGTTTCGGTTAATAGTTATCCTTCCTCCAAGGACAGCACCTCAAGCAGTTACTCCTCGGGTACTTCCAACTCTGCCAGCACTAGCCAGGGATGTGAGTATTGTTCTCGTGTAAAAACGGACTCTCAAGCAAACGTTGCAACTGCAACTTCTGAGCGATGGGTGGTGGACTCGGGTGCCACTCATCATGTCACCCCTGACAGAACAAATCTAGGAAACTCTACTGATTTTCATGGCCCAGGTAAACTCAAAGTTGGTAATGGCAATTCCCTTGACATTCATCTTATTGGTAATACAACTTTACCTACTGCATCCAAAGCATTAATGTTGCATGATCTGTTACATATCCCGCATATAACAAAAAACTTGCTTTCGGTCTCGAAGCTTGCTAGGGACAACAACGTTTTCGTTGAGTTTCATGCCAGGAGCTGTTGTGTGTGAGATGAGACTACTAAGCAGGTGTTGTTGACTGGTGAAGAGTCTGAAAGACTGTACTCATTTGTTACCAATAAATCTACAGAAACTGCTGCGTGTATTGCGGCTTTTGCTACATCCACTGAGGTTGAAGAGTTGTGGCATCGATGACTTGGCCACCCCTCTAGTAACACACTAAAACAGATTACAAAAATGCTTGATGTAACAATTACCTCTGATGTAAACAAGACTTGTAGTGCTTGTCATATGGGCAAAAGTCACAAATTACCATTTGAGCAATCGAATACAGCTTATAATACTCCATTTCAGCTTGTCTTTACTGATTTATAGGGACCTCCCCATGTGTCATCAAACGGTTTTAGATTTTATGCTTCCTTTGTCGATGCATGCACGCGACACACTTGGGTTTACCTATTAAGATATAAGTCTCAAGCTGTTGAAGCCTTCTTGCTGTTTCAAAAAATGGTAGCAACCCAATTTAATGCCTCCATCAAAGCAGTACAAAGCGACTGGGGAGGCGAGTTTCGCAGCCTCTCACCACTGCTAGCCAAAGCTGGAATTGTACATAGGTTGTCATGTCCTCATACCTCCGAGCAGAATGTCATTGTTGAAAGGAAGCACAGACACCTGGTTGAAATGGCACTAGTGTTGCTCGCACAAGCCTCATTACCCATGAAATATTGGTCATATGCTATTATCTCTGTTGTTCAACTAATTAATAAATTACCTACTAAGGTTTTGCAGGGAATCTCTCCCAGTGAGAAGCTGCTCGGGAAGAAACCAAACTATAATGATCTGAAGGTGTTTGGTTGTCAATGCTACCCTCATCTACGCCCGTTTCAAGTTCACAAGCTTGCATATTGATCACAATCATGCACATATATTGGTGTCAGCCCCCAGCATAGAGGGTTTCAATGCCTCGCTGCTGATGGAAGGGTCTATATTTCCAGGCATGTTTTCTTCAATGAAACTACTTTTCCTTTTGCAGGCAGGCCGTCCTCATGCAACGCTCAGGAGCTCAGAAATCGACAGCCGCAAACTTTACAAATCGTGACTAGCATGCATCACCAACCTGCTCAACTCTTAGCACAACCAGCAACTCAAGGCAGCGTTGAGTCAGTTCCCACTGGATCTCATGATATCGAACATGTGAATATCGAAGGAGATGAAGGTGAATCATCAAGTGTGGCTATGCCACCTGGAACAACTCTTGAACCTAGCCTTGAAAATGCACCTGGAAATAGAGAGGCTGGGCAAATCTCACCTAATCCTCATGGTGTCCCACCTAGCGTTGAAATTTCGCCTATTGATACAACACGGGTGAACAATCACAACAGCCCAGCTGAGTCGAACAGTGATGTTGTCCCATCTAGTGTTGAAATCTTGCCTACTGGCACATCACGGGTGAACAATCACCCCATGCTCACGAGAAGCAAGTGTGGAATTTTTAAACCGAAAGCTCTCTCATGCCACTTTGATGAGGAAGTCCCCTCAAATGTTACTGAGGCGCTTCAATCTCCAGCATGGACTGCTGCGGTTCAAGAAGAATTCGATGCACTTCAAAGAAATGGGACCTGGACGCTTGTCAAGCTCCCCCCTGGACGAGTTGCAGTAGGCTGTAAATGGTTGTTCAAAGTGAAACGCAATCCTGATGGCTCGGTTCATAGATACAAGGCTCGGCTCGTTGCAAAAGGATTTTCTCAAGTGTCTGGGCAGGACTACCTTGATACATTTAGCCCTGTTGTGAAATTTACAACTCTCGATGTGATCCTATCTGTTGTAGTGGCTAACAACTGGGACCTGAGGCATGTTGACATCAATAATGCCTTTCTCAATGGAGACTTAAAAGAGGCAGTGTTTATGAAACAAACTCCAGGCTTTGAACAGACAGCAGCTGATGGTGAACCCCTGGTTTGCCAACTGCAAAAAGCCTTATATGGTTTGAAGCAAGCACCTCGTAATTGGCATGCAAAGCTTAAGGACGTGTTACTACGAATTGGGTTCCAAGTGTCCCGAGCTGATACTTCACTATTTTTTACAAACACAGGCGCTGAACGAGTTTACCTTCTGGTCTATGTAGATGACATAGTCATCACAAGCTCCTCTACTACCAGCATTGCTAATATTGTTCGTATGCTTCAGGACACGTTCTCCCTTAAGGATTTGGGACCTCTTAGCTATTTCCTGGGTATTGAAGTAAAACGTAACAATGGCTCCCTGATGCTAAGTCAAAAGAAATTTATCTTGGATCTTCTTAAAAAAGATGGCATGGAGAATGCTTCCACATGTGCAACTCCTATGATTTTGGGTTCCAAGTTAGCCGAGGATGGTGATTTAATAAAGGGCGCGACTATGTATAGATCTATTGTTGGGTCTCTACTGTATGTGTGTCATACCAGGCCTGAACTTGCCTTCAGTGTAGGCAAGGTTGCTCAATTCATGCATGCTCCTCGAGAAAGTCATCTAGTGGCGGTAAAATGAATATTGAGGTATCTGGCAGGTACTGTGGAATATGGCTTGGTGTACCTGCCATCGAAATCAAGGTTTATAGTCTCAGCATTTGCTGATGCTGATTGGGGTGCCAACATAACAGATCGAAGGTCCATCTCAGGCTATGGGGTATTCCTTGGCAATCATCTAGTTGCTTGGAGTTCGAAGAAACAGAAATCTGTCTCACGCTCGACGATGGAGGCTGAGTACAAAAGCCTTGCGGATGCCACTGCTGAGGTTACATGGGTGAGTACCTTACTCGCTGAGCTTGGGTTGCAGCAACATGGACGATCAGTGATATGGTGTGACAATACTGGAGCTGTGGCAATGAGTGCCAACCCAGTTTATCATGCTCAATCGAAACATGTTGACCTTGATGTGCATTTCATCCGCGAGAAGGTGGCTGCTCAACCACTAAGCGTGAATTACGTACCTACAGCTCATCAACTGGCTGATGGTTTCACTAAACCGTTGTCTAAAGCAGCGTTTGAAATGTTTCGTGACAATATTGGAGTACAAGTGAGTTCACGATCAGAAGAGGAGAAGAAGAAGAAGTAGAGGGAATGTTAGCGTGCATATCAACTGCTGCAGTATGTACATTAGCAGTGCATTCAAGATGTTTCCTGTAGGTGAAGCTGGTATAACAACCTTGGTTATTAGCAAATTAGTTTTGTCAGTTTTGGTTAGTTGTGCAGTTAAGGTAATTGTATTAGCAGCTGATACAGCTGAGAATTGTTGTATATAAGGAGCACCAGTCTTGTACTCAATTCACTGATTTTCACAATAACAATATCCAGTCTATACTCCTCTGTTATTCATATTTCCAGTAGTATAACTTAAGAGTGTTCATCGTCAATGAGCTAAAATTCTTTAAACATAGATTACCTTATATTTATTATGAATTTATAAAAAAATGTATAGTTAAAAAATCCCTAGAATTTGAAATTAGAAAAGCAAAACAACATTGATACAATCAAAGCCTTAAATAAATTAAATTTCATAATTTTTAAAAATATTAATTGAATTATTATCTCATGTAATATTCAAAATATTTATTGGTACAACTAGTATAATGAAACCCCACGTAATACATGGAACAAAGATGACGCGATCAAATAATAAATGTTTAGGTACGTTTAATTATCTGATACTTTTAATATTAAATCCATTAATGAGAGGAAGTCAAAGAAACAGAGCGTTCAAATGAAGAGTGAAAGAAAAGACGGAGGTATCTGAGTTCACACCTGTTTTATTAAATATAGGTGTAGATTGATTGATTCCTCCCGGCGATTTGGAAGCGAATCAATCTGAACACCGCCAAAGTTAAAGCTTTCATTTTCAACTCCCAACTAAAAGAACTTTACAAGGAGAGAGTCTCCCCAGGTATAGATTGATAGATTGTTGTTTTACCCTCTGGGATTTCATTTCTGGGTTTCTCTCTTCTTTGTAAGCTGTTCTTTCTTTCCTCTCTCAACCAAAGATGAATATTTTGTTTGGATTTTCTCATGATGTTTAATCTTTAATCCAGGTTGACCTCTTTAATGGAAGTTGGTTCTGGTAAATGGTTATCTGAACTGGTACGTTTTGAAGATTGTTCCCACAATATCAGCTGGAAGAAATTGTTTTTCTTACATGAAAATTGATTTGCAGGAAATGGAGGATCCCACGCTATTCCCACACCAATACCAAACGATGAACCCTTTTGACTATTCATCTCATGATATAAATTTCAACCCTTTCTCTCCTGAAAACTATGCATGCAATCCATGTATCAATGATAGTTTATTCGTTGGAGCTTCTAATGAGATGGACGACGACGACTTTAAAAGGCCAATGAAACAACTCAAGACCAACAGTTGGAGCTCTTGCATTACAGAAAATCAAATCCCACCACCGCCACCAACAAAGGCAGCATCGTCGTCGTCTTCTTCCCATATAATCTCCTTCGGCAACTCGAATTCGTCGCCGGCGGCTATATCTCGGCAATTCTATGATGTGGAACCCAAAACTGAGGCGGGTAATTATTGGGATGGAAACATGGGATACAGGAGGGAGCAGTATTGTTCAAGTAAATCTGGGCAGGTTTCGAGGTCAAGGAGTCCAATACATGCTCAAGATCATGTAATTGCTGAACGAAAACGCCGTGAAAAGCTTAGCCAGAGTTTCATTTCTCTTGCGGCACTTATTCCTGGCCTCAAAAAGGTATATTATATACCACTTTATAATCAAAGATTTCCGTTTTCGAAATTGAGAAACATGTTTCGATTATGTTTTATATGCAGACAGACAAGGCCTCGGTTCTTGGAGACGCTATCAAGCACTTGAAACAACTTCAAGATCGAGTTAATGTGCTTGAGAAACAAGTTGCTAACAAAACAATGGAATCAGTGATCTCTGTAAGGAAAACCCAGATTTATGCAGATGATGAGACGATATCTTCGTCCAATGAGAATTCCGATGGCCGATCTAACGACGTCTTCCCTGAGATTGAAGCGAGAGTTTCGGACAAGGACGTGTTGATTAGGATCCAATGTAAGAACAACAAAGGGTGCATACCAAACATCATAGGCGAGGTCGAAAAGCTTCATCTCTTTGTGCTCAATACCAGTGTCTTGCCCTTTGGACAAGACACTCGTGACATAACTATTACTGCTCAGGTAATTTTATTTCCAAAAAGTAATTATATTTTTATGTCGCGATGATTTTGAAAAACATTACGATGTGACCATTATACTAGGTTACAGCTGTAATTTAGTTAACAATCCTAAACCATTTGAGTCTTAATTTCATGGTTATTATTGCAGATGGAAGCTGAATTTTCGATGACAGCGAAGGATCTTGTGAAAAGCATACGACTAGCTTTGCTCAAGTTCATCAAGTGATGAAACTGCAACACCATGTTCACACTGAGTAGAAGATTGGAAGAGTGGCTCAATTTTACTATGTAAAATAAAATCCAATCAAAATAAAATCTCGATATGGTTCAATATCACCAACTTCACTTTGAATGGATACACTACAATATGCTCTCGTTATGTTATATAAAATCAAACTAAATTTAAAAATATACGAATATTACTGATTTAAGTAACGTATGGTGATTTTATTGTCATAAGTTTACATGTTAAACTCTTAAACTCAATCAAATTTACACTATCTCAACCAAATATTCTCAGCTAAATTTTCATTATGAACTAAATATTTAGATAATACTTTTGAAAAATAATATTTAAAATATCAAAAATACAATACTAAATAAAAAAATTTTAAATATTAAAGAACTATTTAAATGTGTGTAGCATTATTTAAATATTAAACTAATATAAAATAATAAATTTGCATCTTAAATAGTTAGCTATATAGTTAAAAAAACATGCAATAAATAGATCAATATAAAGAAGATTCATTGTTTTAAGGACAATTTTATTTAAAACAATATGAATTGATAAATATGAATATAATTCTCGAAATCTTAACAAAAAAATATAATTGTTCATAATATATATTTTTTTGGATAAAAATATGATAAATAAAAATTTGGATTCCAAAAAACAATTATCATCTTTGATAATGATTTTTTTTTTTGTAAATTTTAACACAACTTAAATTGTACAAATCAACTTACATAAATAGTTAAAAGAATTATTGTTCTTTCTAGAGATTATGAGTTCGAGTATCAGCCACTGCAGTAGGGTGATTGAGCGTTTATAATCAAATAATTAATAGTATTTAGAACATATACTATTTTATAATCATCTTAATTTAATAAAAAAAACAGCCTAAATTAGTTTGTGGGATGAAATTGTTTTAAAGAAGCCTAATTTCAACTTGAGTACAAGACTACACACCTTGGTGATTAATTAAGGCGACATGTAGCAATTAATGGATGATAGAGGTAGATGAAACTAAACCAAACCTGAAACCAACCAAGTAGACGGCATTTGGGAAGGCCAAAACATTGCAATGAAAAGGAAAGTTTGGTTTTTTGTTCGAAAATTTCGAGGATCCTTCACAACAGAAACAGTATAGTGAAAGTCGGGAAACAACGTGTAGATGTGTAATTGCCACGACTTTTGACCCAAAATAACTGTCGGTGCTGCAATTATTGTGCCCGTATGACTATGAGCTGAAGAACAGTTGACGAATAAATGCAACTCTAATTAAACTACACTATTTCAATCCCCCTTTTCAGTGCTTCTGCTTCTCTCTCTGTCCAATCCAATAAATCAGGAGTTTCTCCACCTAAACATTGCAATGGAGACCGGAATCATACAATAAAAGCAAAGGCATTATTAAATAAAAAAATCATTTTTTATTATTTTGTTAAAAAAAAAGCCAAACAACATTAATTGAAAAAACTCTTTAATCTTGGCATTGAATAAAGTGTAAAAATAAGTTCTAAAATGGAACATAATTACATAAAATCTAGTCATTAATATTTGTTTTACGAAGGTATCCATCCAACATGATTATCATTTGATTTTATAGATTTTTTTTAAAAATCTCGCGCCTTCCATAATTTGAGACCCTTGACATGTCAAATTAAATAGTATTATCATGTCAGGAATCTATGCGGACATCACAGGACCTCACGTTTTGCATAACGCGAAGTTCCTTCTAGGTCAGGAATCTCAATGAAAAACATGTTGTGCATAGCGCGAGGGCGTTGCCTATTTAAACTTTCCTCTTCTGCTAGTATTTTAAATTTTAACGCGGGGTATCTACTTACAAGTGGTTTCTCTTCTGGTGGCACGACTTGGCACGAAACATAGAGATCCTTATATCAATATTGGTGGTATAAGTAATGCCACCCAAAGAGAATGCCTTTTATAAGGAAATCACCCTTTGAGTTTCTTCCGTCAAACATAGCCTTCTCAAGAAAATTCTTGTTTCATCAAAACCGCTTTTCTCATCAAACCCACAATATTTAAAAGGCATCCTCTTACGGTTGTATCCTCTTCAAATTGTCTTTCGTATGATATATTTGTAAAATCTATTAAATAATTCATAGAATCGGTTGTCTTGTCATGAACATTCTTCAACACGAGTAACCTAATCTTCTTGAGAAACTTATCGTTTCTAAAAATGCATTCTCTTCTGGTGGCATCATCTACTTATTGCTCGTGACGTTGATTTGACAAATGACACACCTTCACTTAAGAACTTAAGGCTTCCTTCGTAGATAGAATTCGGGAAACTTTTCGAAATATTTCTAAAAAGGCATCCTCTTCTGTTGGAGTCATCTTCTTCCATTAAACCGACTGTTAATCCAAATAAACAAGTCATTTGAGGGTGCCTAATGCTATTGCAGTCGTGGGCATGATTTTCAAATTCTATTTTATGCCCAATTCACTCTTCATCAAAACCACCGGTCTTACTCGAGAAACTTATCATTTCTAAAAATACACCCTCTAATATTGAAATTTATGTTATTTTAATTTATGGTATTATATTTATTTTTATGTTATTTTATGTTATTTTAATTATGTGACTAGGATTTATTGTGATGAAGATTTAGTCGAACATAGAGAGAATTGGAGAGCCAAAATTATGTTTTACTTTTGTATTTAACAAAATATATTCATTAGTTTTTAATTTCTTTTGGTTTTAAGCCATTTTGAACTTGATTTTTACACCGCTTAAAATGTCTTGTATGTGTCAATACAAGCCTTAATTGAAACATAAGTACCAATACTACACATCTAATCTTATAAATTACAAAAATTTTCATATTAACTTCCCAAAAATACTTCCTAAACATGCCTATCAAACCATTTTAGCTTATTTTTCACGCACAAAACCAAACTTTGGAACCATTTTGAATGTGATTTTTACCCAACTTGCAATGTCTCATTTATGCCGATGTTACCCTCATTTGAAAGATAAGTTACAATACTATGACTTTAATCTTATAAATTGCGAAAATTTTTAGATACTACCTGAAAATGTCCTTTTAATATGCCTATAAAACCATTTTAGCTTTTTCTTCATACACAAAACAAACTTTGTAACCATTTTCAATGAGATTTTTAACTTGCTTATAATATCTCGTGTGTGTTGTTATTGGCCTCAACTGAAAAGATAAATTCCTATACTACGCCTCTAATCTTATAAATTATGAAAACTTTTAGACTTCCCAAAAATACCCCTCGAACGTGCCTATAAACACTTGCGATTTGTGCTGGTTCATAACTCGCTTTCTATAGAACGCGAGGACTACTGACGAATGCATGTACATCCCAGGGTGGGAACGGGTTTCTTTATACTAGTTGTTAATTTTATTGAAGGTGCCAACCCTAAAATTTTATTGTACCCACCTGTAATTCATATTTCTTTATATTAGTTGTTTATTTTACTGCCTAAAATTTTATTTATGTCTGCCCCATACAATTTATTATTATTATTATTAATAGATATGTCCCACCCTAAAAAATATTTCTAGATCCGCTACTGACAAGGACGGTTAAATACCACACATGATAAATTACCGAGGCGTTTCAATATTTTGGGGAACTCGTGTTAAGCAGAATGCAAAGTCTTTTCTTTGAATTAAATTACATTATCTTAAAAGTGTTTTCACGTTGAAAGAATCTCGTATTTATTACACACGATACCTTGACACGTGTTTTGTAGGACGAGATGTAGTCTGAATGTGCATTTTGAGGCTATTTTTTCAGTTAATGTTGTTTGGAGTTACTGTTTCAATAAATGATTTTTTCTTTGGTTTTTTAATTTAATAGCGCCAAAAGTAAATAAAGCTATTGCTGCCTTTTGGGAGGAGTCGGTAAAAGTTTGTTGTTGCTAATGATGTGATTCGCCAAAAGTTTCAAAATTTGCGATTTCTTTTAACTTATTATATATTTTCTGTTCAATTATTTCTAATCATGTCAATATATAACAATTCATGTCCTCGATTTTCAATGATTTTGTACGGTTGTACCTCTATTTCTAAATTACATTATTGCCAAGAATGAGTCAAATATGATTTTTGTATAGGTTAAAGTAGTGTTGTTTTACATAGAATATTACGTGGGTCTATATTCATAGGGAGGATCCTTCTAGACTTGATATAAGTAAGTTTATGGGATTATCATCAACTCATAACTCCAGGGGTTTGTCTAATTAGTAAACACATAGGCTTTATCGATTTTTTTACAAGTAATACTTTACTTTAAAATAAATTTATTTTTTATTGTAATATTTTGAAAATAGAATTCTTGGGCCACCCCTTGAATATGCCTCGTACAGCAAAAGGGGCATGCAAAAAATGCCACGTCAAAGGAGTCGGAGTAAATTAGATTGGGCAGTTGAGTTCATAAATGTTGAATTACATATGTAAACATGCATTTATCCAAAAAGTGATTGAATAATTAGCACCATAAGTTTGACTAATTAATTCGAAAGTCTCTTCGATTCCATCTCCATGCAAATCGATTCAAAGATAGCTTTACTATGTAAAATGGTCATTGAAAAAGCAAAACTGATTTGAAAAAGAAGGATGCGGCCGATTTGAAAATGAAAGCGTTTTACATTTCTTATTCGGTACACGAGACGACAACATTATGCCTACTACTCAAGATACCATCATATTCCATATGCCTTGATTTATTGCATTCGCTATTCAAAATAAATTTGGGTAAATTACACTGGTCACTACTTTTATTTTATTCTGTTTTATTTTGGTCATCAATTTTGAAAAATTATGTTCTTATCACCTTAGTTTAATCTGTTTTATTTTCATCACTAGATCGTTTACTCTCGTTCATAGGGCTGTTCAAAATCGGGTACTAGTATTTTCGGATACTTGAAGTACCAGGTACCCGGTTCTTTGGGTAGTATATTTGTCGGCCCGTGACCTGGTCCGTTAAGCATGGGTACTTGGTAGTCGGGTACCCATAAAAATTTAAAAATTCATAATATTCAATT